AAATAAGAACCAAGAGACTCATGTAATGGTACAAGATCCCAATGATGAATGTAACTGTATTGTATACCTAAAATGTACCAATAAAGTTAATGGGGAAAAAAAAAGATTTAGATTTTTGAGATAGTGTTGAAGTTCAAGTCATTGAGTATTGAAAGTTGGGTATTATTGTTAGGTTTAGGGTTAGGTTTAGGGTTAGGGTTAAGGATAGTGTTGGAATTCATGTACCTGATTATTAGAGTGTGGGTATTATGTTTAGTGTTAGTGTTAGTGTTAGTGTTAGGTTTAGGGTTAGCATTAGGGACAGTGTTGGAATTCAAGTACATGATTATTGGAGTGTGGGTATTATGGTTAGTGATAGTGTTAGTGATAGGGTAAAGTTTACCATTAGGGACCGTTTTGGAATTGAAGACCTGAGCATTTTAATGGGTATTATTGTTAATGTTAGGGTAAGTGTTAGGGTTAACTATAGTGTTGGAATTTAAGTACCTCAATATTCTAGTGTGGGTGTTATGATTAGTGTTAGTGTTAGTATTAAGGTGAGGGCTAGGTATAATTTTGGAATTCATGTATCTGAGTATTTGAGTATGTGTATTATGGTTAGTGTTAGTGTTAGGGTTAGGGTTATGGTTGGGGCCAATTTTAGAATTCAAAGGCCTCAGTATTGGAGTGTTGGTATTATGCTTAGTGTTATGGCTATGGTTATGGTTACAGTTTGGGAAAATGTTGGAATTCAAGTACCTAAGTTTTGGAGTATTAGTGTTAGGGCTTGGGATAAAGTTAAGGTTAGGAGCATTGTTAGAGTTCAAGGGCCTCAGTATTGGAGTGTGGGTATTATGGTTATTCTTTGTGTTATGGTTAGGATTAGGGTTAGGGAAAGTGTTGGAATTCAAGTACCTGAGTATTGGAGTGTGGGTTTTGTGATTAGGAGTAAGGCTAGCGTTAGGAACAGTTTGAATTCTAGTGCCTGGATATTGGAGTGTGGGTACTATGGTTGGTGTTTATGATATATTTAGGCTTAGGGTTAGGATTAGGGTTAGGTTTAAGGACACTGTTGGAATATCGGAGTGTGGGTATTATGGTTAGTGACAGGTTTAACATTAAGTTTAGGGTTAGGCTTAGGGATACTGTTGGAATACAAGTGCCTGAT